ATGACATTCATGGAAGAGGTGGGCACAGATTAGAAAATACATCCTTCTAGTGCATACTACACTGGAGATGTGATTAAGCAACACACTAATACAGAACAATGACAAACAGTTTATCTTTACAGAAAGTCCTTCTCAATGGTCTATTAGAAAGCATGCAGGAAAGGTGTACCTAGCTCTACCAGCCTCTTTGGACAGCATGTAACCATAACCGTGGAAGAGTCCCACATATTATCATTGCATAATCAGATTTCACTCCAACTCCAAAATTCTGTGATCAAAAATTGTTGGATCAGTTGTTTTTGCATACAATAAGCCTCTGAATCACAAAGCCAATCAATCAATTGTACAGCTCAGAAGCAGTCTTGCTCTGTAAAATGTCCAAAGCTCAAGGGTCAAAGCTGTTTAAAACTTTAATTGGCAAGTTGGTGGTTCAACAACATTCCAGAAATTAAACATGCAAAGAGAGCCAAACACCTGACTCCACTAGAGATATCAAGTCTCACTGGACTACCCCATTATTCTTCCCTTGCATCAACATGGGAAACGTTTGCAACAGAAGCAACTAGTTACTAACTGATCTGATGTGGGAGTTTTCTCTAGGCCTTAAACTCAACTTTTAGGCCACAAAAATGTATTTCCCACAAGGTCTGTAATCTAAACAGATCTTCAGAATGCAAACACTGACTTCAGAAAAGAGAAGAATCTAATTTTTCCTTAATGAGATTTAACAACCCAGAGCTCTTGACATTGAATGTTAACACCTTTAGTATACCATAATCCAGAGCTCTTTACATTGAAGATTAACACTTTTAATATTGTATTCCATTTTCAAAATTTCACTTGCTGGCACTGAGAAGCTCAGTCACTCTCAAGTGCCAAGTATAGTTTAACAAGCAGTTCACTAGAACAGACAGATGTTTTTCCTTCTCCCTGCAACCAGCATGTATAACACAGTAGAAGCAATCTGAAGTTTAACTGCTTAAGTCAACATTAAGCATAGCCGAACACACTGTTCTTTCAGTTCTACAAAAGTTTCTAAAACAGCCTATTCAGACACTGAAGCTACTGAGGGATATAGGGGAAAGAGGGGAAAAAACAAAACAAAACACTTAATTCCTTTATTATAACATTTAAATAATCACAACATTTACACAAAAAGAACAAAGTTACATACAATGTGTTCAACTTAAGTGCATAGCTTCAAGACTACCAAATAAATAAATGAAGACCATGCACCAAAGCAAATTATACACTTGTGGAAAATTAACGTAACCAGAACTAGTTCAGCACCCAGAGATGTTGTGTGGTTGTATTAGCAGCCCTGAACAAGACTAGCTCCCTTCATTTTCAGGCTTCTAACAGTCATTTGGGGGGCTGCTAGTAGAAGTCTAGAAGACAAGGAAACCAGAGCCCCTTGTTTTCAAGGTTTCTACTAATAGACCTTTGACTCCTTAGGCTTTGTGGCACAACTAAGTGGAGTACCACTAGTTACAAAGTAGACAGATATGGTTACCATTATTGATGCAGTTACCCCCAGTACACTCAGGTTGCAAAGCAGACATTTGGGTTGAAAAGTCTTATGCCTGTAAGCATTTCATGCACCTAGCAGAGCTTGCTACAAAATAAGCCAGATCTGTCCAACTGGGAGCCTGCAATATCCCAGAGACACCAGTGCTTGCCAGAGACTAGCTTCTGATCTTATGCTGTCCTAGCAGCAGCAACAGTAGCACATATGGCGCCCAGGACAGACAAGGCTTTATTTTTCTGCAAAACTGAAAGTGAAATGCTCTCCACAGTGGCACACTGAAGACACGCACAGTTCACTTTACTACATAACACAGTCAGCCCCAACTGATTGCCAATTTGCTTAAATTGGGGATGTCCAACTTGTAAGTGACATGGTGCCACACACCCCATGGGCACCTGCCTGCAGCACTCTATGTGTGGTGCCCTGGCTGCCCATCCCCCTATGGCTCCAATTGTAACAGCAGCAGCTGAGGACAGGCTCCTTCCTTCCATGCTCCAGTTTCTACATCTTGTCCCCACCTCAAGGGATGGTGCAGCAGTGGCACAGGGGAACCTGCTGGCCCAGAGTTCCCATGCAGCATGGGAGTGGCTGAGGACCTGAGGGTGAGGCTGGGTCATCTGAACAGCCCAGATGTAAGCAATAGGCAATCAACTGGAACAGACAATGTGTTGTGTAGTAAAGTGAACTGTGTACTTCTCCAGCGTGCAATAATCTAATACACTTTTACATTGGGTAAGATCCCTGACAAAGCCAAGGATTTACCTGCGGACATCCAGAAATTGTTGTGATAAAACTCAAAATGAACAAAATCAACATGAAGTTAAGTCACTGTACCTCCTCTAATTTGTTTATTTTGCTTATCTGCCTGGACAGTATGTTTTATTGATCTTCTTGTACATAAACAACTTCTCATTTGTGAGGGTCTTTCATACAACTGAGAAAAACCTCTATAAAGTAGGAAAAACTAAAACTAATGCCATAGAAAATGTGAAGGTGACTCGGGACCAGGTAAAGTACACAAACTGTAAAGCAGCTAGATTGCAAGAGAAATCACTTCTTTTGGTGATCTCAAGTTATCGTTAGACGCATATATTTATGGCCATACAACAAGTTGTATGGTATTATTTGAGAAACAGCATGCAATACAATATGTAGATAAGTTTGCATGTTCAATGTCAAATATATCTTATCCTGTTTTATGAAGGCAAGAAATTTAATATTGTATTGACATATTGTATTTGACATAATACAAGTTTAGATAATATTTATGCAAAATGAATCACTGCCATCAATTTAAATCAATCATAATGGTAGCAGAGCTCAGCTCATTGCTTACAGCGGGAAACTATATTAGGTCTCCTTTGGATACAGTCAAGGAGAACCCATCATAAAAAAATAACTGGAAGCAGTCTGATTTTTAATGATGGGCTCTCTGAATGTGCGTTATATATTTTAAATCCAGATAATGGACCACATAGTCATACATGTCTGTTGATGCAAGGGGCATCTTGTTCTGAAGACAAGAAACATGACTTGTCTAACACTTCTCCACTTCAAAAATACTGATGCTTTCTCCTGAAGCCCTACATGCAGTTTGATGAACCTTTCTTAAAACCGTCTTCATTTTACTTGGCACTATAAGCCTCTGGAACATCTATACAAGAAATCAAGAGAAACAACAACAACAACAGCTACCAACCCCAGTAAAATAAGAGGAACAAAAAAAGTGTCAGGTCATTAATAATCATCTAACTTGTAAGTTGCTATTCCCACAGCCTGTGCAGCTGGGTAGGAGTTTGCCTTTCAAGGACACAAGTAGTTCCTTTGTAAGGGGCTAGAGAGGGGCCAAAGGAAACAGCACAGAAAGAAAATAAAAGGCCTCACCAGATCAAGTTTTTGAACACAGGAAGTGCAGCTATCTGCAAGTCAGTTGCATGAAATGAGATTCCTAACCCTCTCATCACCTTCCATTTCCAGCACACAGCCCTAGGATAGACAAGTAACTTTCTCAGGTCTCTCAATACCAAAAAATAGAGATGAGCTGACTTCAACACCAAGAATTTTGCACTTAGTTGGGACCATATGGCCACAAATACCATAGCAGCTGAGCACTTATTTATGTCTTGTTATAGGAAACAAAAATAGTTTGACTGAATTCCAGAGAAAGCCTTCTTGTGTACAAGCACCAACTTTTCTCCATTTCACATTTAATCCTCACATACATATATGTGTGTATGTGTGCATCATCATCAGCAAACCCTCAATTCAAGAATGAACTCTACCATGGCTCATTGATGGGTTTTGAGGCGACTCAAGAGTCCAATCCTTGAGCCACAAACACATCTCCAGAAGTTGCAGGTCTTTCCGCAGGTGAGAGCAGGCTGCCAGCTGGGGTTTCTCTCCTTTTCCTTGCTTGTCTCTTCTCTGCTTCAAGGGCAAGACACTTTACCTTGAAATAAGCTGCCACCTGCCTGAGGTTGTGGTGCCATTGGGGTTGGCTGGCAGGTAGAACTTTCCACTCTTGATGTCAGCATGCATTTTCTTGAGTTATTCCTTCAGTATGTCCTTGTAGCATTTCCCTTGGCCATCGTGAGATCTCAGGCCATTACTAAGCTGAAAGTAGAGCACTTGTTTTGGGAGTTGAGAGTCAGGCATCCACACACAATGTTCACTCCAGCAAAATTGGTGCTTGAGGATCACCAACTCAATACTGGTAACATTGGCTTCAGCAAGGAAGCTGGTGTGTTTGTGTGGCAATCTTCCTATTTGATATGGAGGATTTTCTGGAGACATCTTTGGTGATATCTCTCCAGGCTCTTGTGTGCATGCACGCGTGGGCACACGCACGCACACACACACACACACACGGGATGATCCTGCCTTGAGCAGGGGGCTGGACTAGATGACCTCATAGGGTCCTCTCCAGACCTACTTCCTAGAGTTATGACTAAGATATGCAAAGATTAACTCAAAATAACTTATTCTAAAAGTAGCAATTCTAGTCCCCGAATTCAGACTACCTAAAATATCCTAAACATACTACATTCCCAATTCCAAATTCTTGTTGCTAGAAAGCCATTTCTGAAAGACCCATCAGTATCATTAAACTATTAGGTGAACATTTGCAACTACCTGATATGTATTCCCCAGTACAGAAAGAAAAATAATTAGCTGCCATCTTCTGCTCAAGAACTCCCTCAGGCTACCTCTTCTTAGAGCCAAACTTTGAATTAGCTTGCATGATCCAAATGAAAAAAATCTCTCTCAATAACTGCTACCAGCACCACTGGTCAGTGCACTATTTATTCATACCAACTAACAAGAAAAAGAAACCAAGAGTCTACTAGAAAAAGCAATGACTCAGTATATATTTAGAACATTTGCTGTGAGGATTGTTATACGCCCCAACTCCTGAGGAGTTTCAACAGCCTCCTCTTTTCTCCTTTAAAACAGAAAATAAAAAGTTACATACCACTGGTGACACTCGGAACTTTGATCCCCTTTCTGTATGGCTGCCTCTGCCTCTTCTTTCCCTGTAAGTGTTTAGAGTGATGTAAGAAATTCAGTTACTTGCACTCTTGATAAATTAGTGTTTCCCAGCTCCCAAAGTACTAGTCTCTACAATGAGAGGAAGGTGTAAAGCAACTATACATTTATCAGTTACTTGGCTTTGAGAGTATTTTGCAAACGGTTTCATGCTCTGGGCATCCAAGACCATACATAAATAACCTCTATATATAATTAGGACCCATAGCTGACATCTTGGATCACTAGCATGGCTTCACAGCATGCTTGACAACTGTTTTGAATGCAGAAGACTGTTAAAGCTTTTCCTGGAGTGTAAATTAAACGGGTTCTGTGAAAGTTTCATTCTAAAGACCATTTCAAGGAAGGTTTAAGAAATAATCCTCATCTTCTCTACCTGTTCCAAGTGCTTAGGGTCTTAAGATGTTCTAGCTGCAAGCCCTTTTATGTATGAGCTACATAAATTCAAAATCTGAAAATTAAATAACTACTTTAGTTTTCTGAAAGGAACCACTTGGGTAGATGAGACTAAATTAAATTGTAAATTATTTCTTAAATCTAACAGTTATAGAAATCTTAATTTAAATGTCCTGTTTTTGTTTACAGCCATCTACAGTGTTGAAAACACCAAACAAACAACATTTGACCTAGTGAATTAGAATCAGAAAACAAAACTGATCAAACTTCACTGAAGAAATAAACATTTAAAACTCATTTGCTTTTTATCTATATGTACCTTAAAGTGATAGTACACTAAGTAAGCCTTTTTAAGCAAGTTACATCAGAAACATTTATTTTGATGGTAAAGACGACACTGAATGCAGATACATGGTTTTACTGTAAGCTTTGCTTCACCACATACTAAAAGCAAACCTGTATATCTCTCAGTAGTAACGGGGATGTACCCATAATACTTTTCTAGAAACTAAACCCAACATATCACTACAGAGATTGTTAATCCATTCCTAAAGAAAAAAGGTTTAAAGTTAATAAACTCCTCCCCCATACGGTTTCAAAGGGTCTGGTGGCAGAGCAGGTAAGGAGGTATCAAGATATGGAGCCAGAGGTGTGAATCTGAGCCCCACTCTAGAGTGATGCAATGGGCTTTCCCTGGGTACACTTGGTTATTTGGGCTGGAGAATGAAAGGCAGTCCAATTTGATGTCTGGGCATAGCTGGTTAAAGAAAAAGGCATCCCTTACTCATGCTACTTGTCAAGCTTGGGAGAACTTTTGACCTTACACTCATTGTTCAAATGTTTAAAGTGCACAGTTTATAAGCCTAAAGCGCAAAAAATCAGCTCCAGTAAACATGATGCTATACATATATATTTCTCCTTACCATCAGAAGCATATGATTTTTTCTCATCTGCATCCTCTGTGATATCATACAGATCACTATAAGCTCGGATTAGGCGCCAAAGGAAACTCTTATGGTCCTTATACTGCAGGCAGAACATAAATATTGGAGATGACTTACTACAAAGATTTTTTTCCACCAATTTTCAACGGGAGCACAAACAGAAAGGATATTAAGTATTATGTGGCAAGAGTTGTTATTATGCATAACAGCTCTTTTACACACCAAGGTACACAGAGTGAACACCTTTTACAACTTCCAGTTGTCCCAGACTGACAAAAACTGAAGTGGAGGCTGAAGAAAGCAAAAGCACAAAATTCATAATTAAATTCCAAATAAAATGGAGCTCACAATAGGCCTAATTAATTGTGTCATGTTGTAAGTGCTCATGCCACATGACAGGAATTTTAACAAAGATGGGAGCACCAAGACCAGACATCCACTTGTTTTCATTCATCTTCAGAGACAAGAAATAAGTCACAATTCTAGACCATTTTACAATTCAGTTTAACTATTTAGTGGTTCATGTGTTGCATTTCAGTCAGCATAAGATTGGACATTTTCATATTCTGGCTCTCAGAACACCCATGCAGTTATTGTGGCTGGATGGCCAAGGCAGGAGGGGAAACGGTCCATCAAGAAACACAAGTCAATTCACTTCCTGCTAAAACAAACAAATAAACCCACCATTCTCCTTCTCTTCCTCCTCAAGCTTGGCTCTGTAAAAATGAGGCCTGTGCAAAGCAGCTAGTATTCGCTTCGGATTTGGATTCTGCCAATTCAGGGGACAGTAATTCGAACCACTGTCCAGAATTGATTCAGCCAAATCTCTGAATCACACAGGCCCATCCCCCACCTGATCTCCCAGCCCCAGCAATGGCTGCCCCCCCTGCCCGCACTTTGAAAAAAAAAAAAAGCCTGCACTCACTGGATGCTGCTGGGTGGGGTGGGGGGGGCGATCCCCACTGCCCCACGCTGCATGGGGGGCTCTGAATGAGCCCCCTGATGCCCGCCTGCTCCCCAAGCACCCCCCACCCCAGCTCTAGCCCTATAAGAAACACCCCACCTGGCACTCACGGGTTCCTGCCCAGCAGGGGGCAATCCCTGCTGCCCCACACCACGTGAGGGCTCTTCCATGAGCCCCCTGAAGCCCCGAGGCCACTGCAGGAGCTGGTGAGTTTGGGGTTTCTTGGGGGGTTCTTTTTCTTAAAGGGCCGGAGCTGGGGCAGGTGGGGCAGCCATGGGGGAGCTGGGAGGGGTCGAGGGGCTCGTGGTAGAGGTCCCCCCCACAGCGTGGGGCAGTGGGGGCAGCAGTGATCACCCCCCTGCCAGGCAGCACCCAGTGAGTGGAAAGGCCAGGGCCTGGGCAGGGCAGCCATTGTGGGAGCTGAAGGAACAGGCAGGGAACAGGGCCTGGCAGGGGTCCCCCCCATGGTCCCCACCCCACTCCTCCAGCTCCCCCTCCCCCACCCCCTATTTAC